TATAAATTATGCTAAAATAGAAATGTGGGCAGTAGGAACCTAGATCTCCTGAAGCCTGAGGAGGAAAGTGTTTCTAACATCTTCATTGGGAGATGCTCCAGAAGGCTTCCTGACCCACCATCCTCCCATTTCATAGGAAATATCTCCTCACCTTATACTGAATTTGAAGCCAGGGTTCCAGTTAATTTTTTTCCCACTTTGGTGAGTTTTGAAATGTCCCTTTAATAACAGCTTGGTTACCAATTAGGGGGAAGCCTCCACAGATCCGTCAGAAGGTCCTTCAATTGTTCTCCTTACATTGTATCACTTTAGGTGGAAAGAAACTTAGTATATGAGTTATTTCAATTCAATTCAGTTTACATGTCATCTTAAGGCACTTTACAGTTCACCAGATCATCCCGTCAAATTGATTAAAACTTTTCTATCTAAAGAAAACCAGTCGATTGCATCGACTCATTGACTCGGATGCAATCCCTCACACTAAGCATGCTTGTAGCAACAGTGGAGAGGAAAAACTCACCTTTTAAAAGGAAGAAACCTCCAGCAGATCCAGGCTCAGTGTGAGCGGCCATCTGCCGAGGCCGATTGGGGTTCAAGGAGACAGAAGCAGAGATACAAAAAGCAGCTGTAAAAGGCGGCCCCGTCCAGGAAACACACAGCCAGGCAGACGAGCTCCGAGCCAGCTCCCATGCCAGAGGATGAAGAGAGCACATCCAGATAGTCACAGTTAGAGAAACAGGACTACACTGGAAAAACAGGATGATCTCCAACATCTATAAACAAAGGTGTTGATGGCAGCAGCACAGCTGATATTTCTCTCCAGGATGGAGTCACAGCCAAACAAGAACAGATGAGTTATTTGGAGAGATTACTCTAAATTTTAAAGGTGAAAAGCTAAAAATATTAAAAATAAAATAATTCTAATTAAAACATAATTATATGGATGAGGAGCTGTGAATTGGTTGTTTAGTGGTGGAATGGTCATATTCGGCTTTACAATCCAGAGAGCCGGTTTTACTTTCAGTGCAAATACATACAACACCTTTTGCACCAAAGAAAAAATATGATGTATAAGTTTTTTCAATATCTACTATAGTATTCCTGTTTAAAAAAACAAAAACGTTTTATTTCTATTTGTGGAAAAAAAAAAACCATAAAAACAAGATGGAAGATTTTCTTCTATGTGATGTTTATGAAAATGATAAGAAGTACAGATTTAGAAGTATGGTTGTGCTTAAAAGTTTCCTAACAAAGAAAATGAGAAGTAGTAATGACAGTAGTAATTAAAACTAGAAAAAGCTGTTTCGGAGAAACATCAAAGTGGGAATGCTTTTGCTGAATGAAAAACCTGAAATTACCTGAAGAACATATGAAAATGTGATAGGAAGTCATCAGAAACTTCAAACTGCAGAAAACAATTGAATCATCTGAAGATTTTGTAGGGTAGAATCATTTGGCAGTAAAATGGCAAAAACAAACTCATCTTAAAAGCTGCACAGCCAAACCATACATGATATCAAAAAATGTCTTGAATGTGGGCACTAGAAGGGTCTTAATATAATGTCTCCCAAGTTTCTAGAAAAATGTATAAAGAAATTTTGAAGGGGGGTTTACCTACTTTACAGAAACATGTCAGGCGTGTTATGAATTAGCAGCAAACAGAAAAGCTTAATTCCTGTCCAGAAACAGAGCAGAATGAAGCCAAAGTTCACAACATAGGCTGAAAAGTATGAAATTAGCTGAAGTAGAAAATAAATTACAAAGAAAAACTTTAATCTTATCTGGTTGAAGAAAAAATTAGTAGCTTAAGGATGAGAAGTAAAATGTTGAGGACGATGGTATTGAATAAGTATTAACATTTTGAAATCATATGTGGAAAGGTCAAGACTTGGCAAAACAATTGAAAAATTATTTAAAATGTGTCAGTTGATCAGCATAAAGAAAACAGTGTCATCCTTAGAGGATTGAAAATCTACAAACCTATGTGCAAGACTGACCATGAGAAGCAGAGGAAGGACAGAGAGAGAAGCTTATAGAAAGAGAGCTAATACCATTTAAGGAGCTGAATTTATAAAAAAAAATTGAACCTGCATGTTACGAGCCGCTGTGTTAAAGACAGCACCGTTGGCAGGCTTAGGCTGCATGTTACAAGGTTAGCAGATGCTTTATTACAGTGTAAATCTTAGAACCTGATTAAGAAATATGCACTGAGGTGTGTGGTCAACAGGCCTTGGTAGTGTAATTTGAAGAAATTGTTTGACTTTGGGTCATAGCTACGAGCCATACGGCACAATGAATGAGTGTATGTAAGAAATAGGCTTTTATTTTGTAGAGTCCCTTTAGTCTTATTTCGAAAGTCTATCATTGATGTGTGTCAAGGGAAGGGTCATGCCCAGCAGTGATATAGAATCCATTTCTAAATATGAAATCACTGGTTTTCCATGTTATTGGGTGAATAGATGTTGTATTAGAGCGTAAATGGGAGACTTTTATTGTGAAATTTGCTCTGGGGTATGTTTTGAAAAGGTCCCTAGAGTCTAATAGAAACAAGCTGGTAGAGTTTGGTTCATAATGCTGAGCCATTTGCATCAATTAATAGGCGAGTATAATATAGAGGCTTTTATTGTGTAGGGTCACTGGAGTCTTATTTTGAAAGTCTAGCAGGGTTGTGTGTTGAGAAAAGGGTCAGACCCAGCAGTGATACTTGATGACTTTCCAATCGTTAAATAACTCTTTTCCCTTGTTATTAGGGCAGTAGATAAAGTGGCAATGGGAGGCTTTTATTTTGAAATTTTCCATGGGGTGTGTTTTGAAAACCCCCTGGAGTCTCATTTTTAAAAAAGTGGTTGAGTTTGGGTCATAATGTTGAGCCATATGCTGGGAAAAAAATATGAGTTTAATTTAGGGGCTTTTATTTTGAAGGGTCCCCGGAGTCTTATTTTGAAAGTCTATCAGGGTTGCGTGTGAAGGGAAGGGTCATGGCCAGTAGTCATATTGTATCCACTTCCTAATGTTAAATCAGTGTTTTCTCCCTCCATTAGATTAAAATGTGCTATTTAAAGTGGTGGAGGTAAAATCTCTTTGAAGCACGGTAACCTTGACAACGCTTAACGAGCCTGTCAGTGACAGAGAGACATGCGCATCACTTTCGTTCCTTTCCTCTCAGGCTTTTTTGAATGGGAATAGCAGCTCTGAACAAACGAGTGCTGAAGACAAACCGTAAATAGTATCCAAAAAATTCTTTCAGTCTAAGCGACAGCTATCCTTTGTCTCCAATTGGGGTAACTTTCATGGCTGTAGCTCATTCACAGCCTTAATGGGAAGGAGAAATATAAAGGTTTGTAAATCCTGCTGGTCTCATTGAATAACATGCAGAACAATGGTAGAGCAGAACTCTCAAAAGCAAAACTTTCCCTCCGAACAAACGAGAGGTGAGCCAAAACCGTATTAGGTATTCAAAAAATTCTTTCACCGTGAGCGTCAGCCGTCTTTGGACTACAACTGGTGTAACTTTCATATTTCTACAATATTTCGTCTAGGCGTGGTGACGATGTAAAAAAGTGTATAATTGTCAAAATCTTGATTTTGGGGTTCGGACAGATTTGTTACCCCCCGAACAAACCTTTTTCCTAGCTAAACGATAAAAGATATCGACACACTTCCTTCAATGTGAGTGCTAGGAAGGTCTGAGGAACAACTTCCACAAGGCTCGTGTTGCTACGTCAAACGGTTCCCGAATGGGAGCGATACGAAAAAGTCAGTTTTTCTGAATTTTCAGTTCGGATTTTCAGAGAGCTCTCATTGGATTTCTATTGGAGAAGTGTGGACTTCTTCGTGGTCTGGGACAAACTGTCGAAAAAACCGTAAATGCCACACAAATGAGGGTTACATTTCCTGAATCCTGACAAAAATCCCTACGTTTTGATGTAAAATTTATCTAGATAGAGTAAAAAATGAACGAGTGAGTTGAAGCTGTTCGGCATGAGTGAAATGTTTGAAAACGCTAGAGTGGCACACTCTAGCAGCTGAACATTCCGTCCATAGACTTCCATTATAAATTTGAAAATCTGTAAAAATTGTTTAAAAGTTTGAAGCTTCACTGAAGCAAAACTGTAAAAGTTAGCTGAAAGCCGAGTTAAACAGTAATAGCAGAAAGATACGGAAACATTTTAAAAGTTGAATGGTGTTTCTAGCTGAAAGCATGCTGAAGTAGGTAAAGGGCAAAGTAGCTGAAGATTTAGTGGAATTTTTGAAGTTTTACATGCATTTCAATGGGGCCAAAAATCGCAGAAAAAGCTGAATATCGCGAAAACTGTGAACAATATCTTTACCAAAAGTCATAGCATAACTCTCCTGAACAAGCTGAACGTTTTGATACCAAATTTGTTTAAATCAGCTGAAAACTGTTGAACTAGTTAAACGAAGAAAAACCTACGGAATAATAATAAATATAAACAGAAAAACAATAAGTGGGAATGCATAAGCATTCCCACTTGATAAGACAATGTGTATGTATGTATGTAAGAAAAAAATAAATGTATATAAAAATTATTTTTGCGTTTATATTTAAAAGAAGTTGTTGGCTTTTTCTAATCATTTTAGGCCAAAGGAAGGTCTAAAGAGCTGCAGGTTACAGACTTATATTATAGAAAAACCGCTACACGTCTGTATGGAACAGAGAACCGTATTAGAGAGAAAAGGTTTTCATTGGGTGGATCTTGTAAAATGACTAGATCTAGATACAGATGAAACATATATATACTCTTAATGAGCTCAACTTATATTTAATAAAAGGTTCTAACCTTGAACTTTGGATCTTTATCTAATTGTGTTGGATCATCAGGACATAGAGTCTGGGACTCTGAAAGGAAAAAGTAAAAGAAGTCTCCTAGTCTCAAACTAGTACTCAGATCTTTATCCTCCCATACATTTAGATTTACATTTGTCTAAAGTTTTGCTAATGCATTGTGACATTCTAAATCTCACCATCAGCTCTAGCTGCAGGTGGAAATCTTCCTCCTGCACACATCAGGACAGCACCGCCCCGTGCATGGCAGCATGGAGCCTGGACCCATTGGGCCACCGCTACAGGTGCTTGGAGAGAATGAGGCGCTGCAACAGTTCTTCAGCGGTGAGATGTTCCAGCATGCATTAAATGTTGATGGGGTTTAGAGGGGATACCATGACTCTAAGGTTGTCCAGTGGCCCTTAAAGTAGTGACAAGCTGAATGCTGCTTTAAGTTTTTCAGGTGACTTTATGTAGTTTTAAACATTCTCCATGCAGATCAAAGTTTTATGCATTTTTATTAACAATCATCTTTTCTAGATGCTTATTTATGAGAGTCTGAGACCTTTTGAACCTACTTGTGTTAAGTTCTGGCTATGTGTGGAACTTTCTGGTATTTTTGAGAGGTCAGTGCTGCCATGAGTTGTTAGAATGCAAGATTACTTTTGATTTAGTTGCCCTCAAATAAACTGAAGCTGTATTGAAGGCAGATCTGAAATAGAAGCCTTAGAAGAAGGTTTCTAGGAGATGTAGTTGTCTTGGAGAGGAAGTGTCTCATGACCATCGGGAGGTTTTACTTTATATTACAACGTAAGGTTTTCAAGATCTCTTGAATAATTCCTGGGGCTACTGGGAGCTTGGAGTGGATGTCTAAGGGCTCTTTTAGGTTTGTGTTTACTTTCATGCCAGTATTTAGTTTTTTGGGGGGTATTTCTGCCTCTGAGGTACTCAGGACTGTGTTTTACGAACTTTGATCAGTCATTTTTTAGTTGCTGAGGTGCTTGTCATATGTAATAAAACCAAATGCAGTGTGTGTGGTTCAGATCTCTGAACAGAATGGACTGTAGTTACAAAGAAGTGGTGCAAACCTTAAGTTATAGTTTTGAGCATTCGCAACTAAGGTTGACAATGCCATTCTCAAAGGAACATCCAACATGCGACCATTGTACAACAAATCTCATCTTGATCAAGTACTGCAAGAACCTGCTAATGATCATTTAATGCAAGTTAGGTTGGAAAAGAAACATTCAAGACAAGTAGCAAGGTTTCCCATCCCTGGACCAATATATGATTTAGAATTGATTTAGATTAAAAAATAAGCAGGTGACATCTAATGTCTGGTTCTTCAATGGGTATAAGTGATCTTATAAGAAGAACAGAACGTCATTACCTTGTGAGTTCTTTGGGGGTTTACAGAATCTCCAGGAAGGTTGTATTGCTCATTGTAAAGTTGATGTAATGTCAAGGGGTGTGTAGAAATGGCTTTACATTTTCTAGTTCTTTGTGGAAATAAATCCAGTCCTCCGAAACACCTGAATCAGCGTTCAGTCATTCACCTGCCCAGAGGCCAATCATTTGACTCAGGTGTTTTGGACAGGGGCTATTGAAGGTCCCAGGATGCATACCTGAAGAACTGGACTTGGACACCTCTGTTTTGAAATCCTTAAGCAGGTTCTGGAGCAGTGGCATTTAAATCCAGTCCTTGGGGAACATAGTCCTGCAACACATTCTCATTTTAAGGCTTGGTCAGGTAAAACAACAAAAGTAGCTGGCTGGAGGACCTCGCCTATTCAGCCAGGCAAACGATCCCCTTTACTTACCTCCCTTTCAGACACTTAGATGGGTAAGGGGCTTTGTAGGCTAATAAAATAAGCCAAATGACCCCCATTTCATAGGGATGGACCCTTTCATCCTTTTCTATTTGCATGTTTCCAAAACAAAAACAAGGCTTTTTTTTGGCTACTGTATAAAACCTCGAACTCAATGCTATTTCTGACATTTTGAATTGAAAAAGCTTCCTTGATGGGAAGCCAAACGTCTTCAAACTTGGAAACAAATTCCAGTGGATTGTCTTTTTTTGAAAGTTATCTGATAATAGATTTTTCCGGCCACAGTTGTTACACTGTAATACCACTGTTCTGGAGTCTAGTTAGTCTTAAAGATGGTTTTACATCAGAGCATACCACTGATCATCCATGATGTTAGATGAAGTAGGGAAAGTTTTTGAATTTGTGTCAATTTCTGGTCATGATTCCAGGTGTCTATCTGAATAACTGTAGCATACTAGAGACGGATAAATCATTAAATGATGATGGGGAGTTTTGTTTGTAGACAAACTGTTCAGCATAAGCTCTGGGGCTCCTGAAAGGTTTGTTTTGGTAGATTGGTTGCCACTGAAGTTTGGAGGAAGTTTGATAGGTTGATATTTTAGTCTCTTTTTAAGTGTAAATTTATGTATTTCTCATTCACCGTATTCTCTTTGAAACCAATCCATTCTTTCCATATATTAGGTCAGGACGTCAGTAGTGTGTTGGACAGCTCGGTTGCCGTAGATACCAGCATCCTGGAGCAGTACCTCAGTAACGACATGGACCCAAGCAACTTGTAAGTTTCAAAGACTGCGATGACATCACTTAATAAAATGCTCAGTGAGATGCCTTCTAGTGATGATTCAGGAACCAATGACACACATCAAGTTTTGACTGGAAACAAGTTAAAGAAATTGAATACATAGAATAGAAAGTGGTTTTAAGTTTAAGATGTTTGGTTAACAACAATGACTGATGATACTTAAAGTTTTCAGGAGACCCAGAAACCTGTTTATGAATGCTAAATGCTAAAGAAAATATAGCATGGTTTTGGTTTAAATTTACTGGAAAGAACCAGACTCTTTTAATTGCAGCTCTCTGAGAATTTCTTTTATTATGGGAAACTCACTGCTGTCATATCTGATCATCTGCTCTGTTATATAAAATCCATAAATGTAACACTAACTTTGGTTATCTGATAAGCGAAGATTGTCAATAAGATACGGCTCTATTTAGGGCGAACGCTCAGCCAAAAAGCTTGATCACTGACAATAGGTTGTTTTTGCTCTCTGTTTCAGTATGCTTCCTGAATCTCCTCCTGATTCAAGCTCAGAGGCTTATTCTCCTGCACAGATACCAGGTAGATTAATGCATGATAAATATAACCGTTTTTTTGTTCCAGTTAATGTACGGAAACACAGGAAATGTTATTTATTTGTTGGTTTGCTTCACTCTAATGTTGTTTTTTTTTCCTACAAACAGACGTTGGGTATGAACAGCCCTGCTTGACCGTCAGTCCAGAGGCGTTTCCACCGGCAACACTCCCCACCTCCTGTCACTTTAAGGATCGCCGCTCCGCTCATCCCAACTCTGACCAAATCATCCGGCCCCCTTACTGTCGATTAAAAGATGGAGGCTCTGCGCCATCCCACTGTAACTTTATGACCTACAACCAGCTCTGTGATTCTGGTCTCACAGACATTGACATCAAGTCCAGAACTTCTCCTGACCCACCCATTCTACCGGTTAATCAGGACACCAACCGCCCACCTGAACGTTACTTAAATTCAGGAAACGTTTTGCAAGGTTACACGCCGACCACTCCCTCTTCTCCATCCTTAACTCCTTCCAGTACCTACATTTCCCCCATGACTGATGCAGCTATGGTCCAAAATCTACAAGTGTCATCTTCACCCTGTGCGCTTGGCTCACTCTCCACATCACACACCTGGTGAGGAAACTTTTGGTGTTTGGTCATTCTTGTGTTGGGAGTCCTGTACATACAGTCTGTGTACCACACCTCTGTGGGTGCTTTAAAAGTCCCAGGGAAGTCATATTTAAATGTCAAATTATTCTGGCTTAAACATGTGTGTATATATAAATACATTTGCCTATGTGAGGCAAGGGCTCAAACATGTACAACTGTAAGCATTCTACACCAAACAAAGCTTCTGCCGCCCTGGCGTCCTCTTCCACAAGATCTTCATCCTCGACTTTCTTTCTCTAAATAAAAAATAGTTGACGAACGAGACTCCGACACTAAACTCTCCTCCTCTTGAATGTTTCCGCTGTCCATAGCGCTCCTTGACAGTGTCGAGTCTAAGTCACCAATTTGGTCCCAATGGAATCTCCCATTGGGAACCTACTAGCACTGAGTTGCTAACTGGTTAGCAAGATGCTTCCGAGACACCGGCCACAATCAAACTTGCTTGTGAACCTTCTGCCACAACAATCCCCCAACAAATGATAAACGACCAATCACATTCGCTTTATTCACTTGTGTAAAGTCGTGCACCACTCGGGAGAATTCGGAAATGCAACGGTTGGAACAGCCGTTTCCTTACAACTTGTTTGTCTAAATATGTTGTCAATGCTATGAACTTAATATGGTTTGTGATGCATAAAAACTCACCATTACCTCATAAATTACACATCTTTTGTTATATTAGCATGGCGTCAGAAGCCTGAAGGGGTAGTGGATAGAAGGGGAACATTTGTATGTATTAGAGGTTCAATCTTTGGCTCTATCTGGGGAAATGCTTTACAGAGTGTGGTTTATCTTTTGAACTCCTTACTGCAACTAAGGACCCATATGGTGAGTATTGGAATTTTACCAACACCTTAAAGGAAAAATCCCGTCAGCAAGGAATAACCATTTGGTCATTATCTATACCTAAAACTATTATGTTTGCAGGGATTTAAAGAATTTAGTGTTAATCAGTAAAAAAAATCCATACATCCATTCATTTTTAACACGCTTAATCCCAAGTGGGGTTGTGAGGTGTGCAGTTGCCAATCTCTAGCTGTCTATGGGCGAGAGGAGGGGTAAACCATGGACAGGTCGCCAGTCCATCGCAGGGCAGCACAGAGACAAACAGGACAAACAACCATTCACGCACACACTCACACCTAAGGAGAATTTAGAGGAGCCAATTAACCTAGCAGTCATGCTTTTGGACTGTGGGAGGAAGCCGGAGTACCCAGAGAGAACCCACGCATGATCAGGGAGAACATGCAAACTCCATGCAGAAAGACCTCAGGCGGGGAATGGAATCGAAGGCAGCAGTGCTACCCACTGCGCCATTGAGCAGTCCCAGTAAAAAAATAAAAGTAACAATTTTCTTTGCGATCACTGAGTCTGGGAGCGGCCATTTTTGCCCAAATATAGTAACGCCTCCCTCCTGACATTTTCCAGCAGTGACGTCACGGTGCGGTAAGCCTAGCGCCATTCTCCTCGCTTTACAAGCAAAATCAATGGGAACTACTAGACACATCTGCAATCAACAACCATTATTGAAGATTACCAGAGGACTTCACCATTGAAATTCACCAGAACTATAGTTAAACTGACAATGCCCACGTGCATGTGAAAAAAACATTAGTTATTTCACCTTTCCGATTCATGATCCTCCACGGACGGGTTTGTCATTGGCTTGCCAACTTGAAGAGGGAGGATTTGATCTGCCATTCAACTTCTGGTCAGAGAAAAAACATGTAATATGTAGCCAACATTTGGAAGAAGAATGTTTTCAAGATGACCTGGATAATAGCCGCGTTGTGTCAAACACCAGATACAGCACTGGGACTTGATCAACAGCCGATACTGCACTGTGTCATCACAAACCCATAGGTGGCAGTATCACTTATCTATTTATCCTTCACATTGTTTTTATTGTTAGATTTGCTTTGATTTTGCCCACACAGCACTGTAATGTAATGTGAGTTGATTTTAAATATAAAGGTAGGTATGAATGAATAAGAAATTAAAATCAACTCTACACACTGGAACATCTTCGGCATTAGTGGCATAAGAGGACGCTGTGTCTGTCAGAGGGCAGATCTTTGTGGATGATATTTCTATATTGAATTTTATTTTTCAGTTCCCAGGACAGTAAAAAGAGGAGGAGGTCAGACTCCGAGGATACATTTGCAGCAGCTGATGCTGCCTGTTGTGAAGGTGATGGGACTCGTAACACTGGGGCAGGGATTGGAGCCGGTCTGGGTTCCTCCCAGTTGCTTAGGTGGGAACACTATCAGCAAGAACATTGGAGCACTTTATGCAGCAGCAGCTACAGAACATTGTAAGTCCATATTGCTTTGAACTATTGGACTTAATCATCATGAATTAAGGACATGATGTGGGAAATTAGTTCCTGTGACATAAACTACTTTACTTTGTCTGTTTCAGGGAGCCTCCTACTTACCATGTTGATACAGATAAAGGCTTTAACTACTCTTCAGTTGATGAGGCGTTTGTGTGCCAGAAAAAGAACCACTTCCAGGTCACAGTTCACATCGGTGTGTCTGCAGAGCCACATTATGTCCAAACGTCCAGCGGACTACAGACTTTTGGCTACTTTCAGATAAAAGTGTTCGGCATTAAGGTTGGTGGCAATAAGAATTCCCCAGCTTTTAAAATGATGATCCCTGGTTTTAATGCTCTGAGCCTAACTGATCTGTCTTTTAGCTTGAAACACCGAGCCATGAGGTGACAATAGAGCAGTCTCAACCGGACCGCAGCAAGAAGCCCTTCCACCCAGTAAGGTATGGATAAAATCTACTTTAGATTACAATTAACCACATAAATCAGCTGTATTGTTTCTACATCTTTAAATCCATCTGAAGATTAATTATTTCCTTTTTGGAAAACTATTTATAGTCATTTTTTTAGTCAATAATTAATGAATGTGTAATCTGTTTCTGTTTATCCATTGAAGGGAAAGTGTTTACAGTAGTAGCAATTAAAAATTTCCCCACTTTCTTTGATGGGCCCTTGGCTGGTCCCCTAGAATTACTTTTTAAAACATCAATATTTGTTCTAAAATATTATTTCTGTCATGGTTTGTGGACATTAAGATTTAAAGAGAAGCATAATCTCCTGGTCAGACCCTGTAACTCAGTCAAAGGGTGGAGTCAGAGTAAAAAAAATATGCAAGAGAGGGTCACTCCAGTGGCTGCAAGTTGGAGGGGATTTTGCTGGGAATTGGAGGAAAGTGGGCTGCCATTCGACTGGTGTTTGACTGGAAAGGGCCATTTTGAATGGCTGCTAATGTAAATTACAGATACACCAGAATGAACCTTCCTTTTCTTGATTCCATTTGAAAAAATAGGTTGGGCACCCCTCCCCTAATGGCGGCCTATAGTTTGGGTTGGTTTTCAGTCCATTTCTGAGTTCTTGCCAACTCCTTGATGGATTTCCGCTTATGTTTCTGGTCGCTGTCATGTTTCTGGTTCTAGTTCACTTCAGATTTATGACCTCACATTCTATTTTGTGTTTTTTCCTGTCTCTCTCTCTCTCTCTCTCTCTCTCTCTCTCTCTCGATTTTGTGTTTTTTCCTGTCTCTCTCTCTCTCTCTCTCTCTCTCTCTCTCTCTCTCTCTCTCTCTCTCTCTCTCTCTCTCTCTCTCTCTCTCTCTCGAGATTTTGTGTTTTTTCCTGTCTCTCTCTCTCTCTCTCTCTCTCTCTTGAGAGAGAGAGAGAGAGAGAGAGAGAGAGAGAGAGAGAGAGAGAGAGAGAGAGAGAGAGAGAAATTCTGACTTTGGTTCCTCCCCAAACATCTCCTCTTTTTGGTTTCCATTCAGCAGTCCAAAGAACATTATTCCAGATGCCCCGTTCTTTCTATACATTCTTACTTCAGTCAGACTTTCATGATTTCCTGACAGAACAAAGCATATCTCCAGTGACCGTTAAACCTGTTCATTCTCTTCCTGATTGAATAGCAAAACTCTCAGATCAATGGTACCAAGAACCATAGCTCCCATGGTGACATTTTTGGGTTTTTTCTTAGACTTCTTTTAGCATCTTGAAGGCTGACACTTGGGTAACCTTGCTTGGATGGTCCAACATGATCATGTCGGCTTCTGTTTTTAATAGTGTAGCACCGATACTGATACCAGTATCGGGCAAGGCCCCAACACTGCACTAAAGGTGGTATCGGTATATATTAAATAACTAGAACTGCAACTTATAGTTAATTAATAGACAATTCAAATCAAATCAAATTAATGATTATTAGTTGAATGATTAGAACTGTAATTTGCTTTCTGACCAAGGCTCTTTAGTTTATCCAAGGTTGGATTTTTGGACTGGCTGTTAAAATCCAGTTGCCTTCTCCAGTTTAGTTATTTCTATATGCCATCAATAGATTTATTGATCACCAATTAAAGGAAATTGTCTCCTAAATGCTTAAAAACTAACTAATGTCATGATCTGGCCTGATAGCTTCACCCTAATCGTTAATTTCATTCACCTGCCTAGTTCTGCCCGGTTCCTAATTTTCATACTGCATCGTGCTTTATATTCGATCCAGCCCGAGCGATCAGGGCCAGATCATTGTTTTGTGTCTTGGGTTCTGTTTGGTCGTTTTTAGTTTTTGTCCAAGGTTTGTGTGCTGGTTCCTGGCGGCCAGTGAATAGAGAGGGTTTTAGTGTTTGTTCTGTCTTCTGATCGTTTCCTGATCCTTCTCCGTGCAGCACTCAGGGTTTTGGCTCAGAGAGGGTCAGTTTAATTCCCGTAAGCCTGGCTCCTGGGAGGAGACTGTAATGATCCAGACAGAAGACCCAAATTTTCAGCCAGAACACAGGATAAGGACTTAAACAGTTTATTCAAAACTCAGGACTTCAGTAGCACATCCACCGAGGGCCAGGGATTACTAAGAACGGAGATTTAGGTTAGTGGCTTGAAGGAGTTCAAATAATGAAATGCATGAAACCAACAAAACCACTAACTTTATAAGAGTCCTCCCTTCAGCAAGATCAGCAGCTTGAATAGAGGAGTGCTCCTTTAAACTGTTGTTGGGTGGCCAACAGTTGGGTGGCTTGGAGCACAGAGGCAGGATTTAGGTCCTGGAAGCCAGACTCAGGCTTAGTGATCAGGGGGCTTGGCAGGAGGCAGAAGTCGAGGGGCAGAAACAGGGTCGTTGTCCAGAAGGCAGAGAAATCCAATGAGGGCTAGGCAAAAGGGAAAATCCGTGAAGCAAAAACTTGGTCAGGTAACATGAAGTGCTGGATACTGCTTGCTAGTTGGCTTGCAATTATCTGGCCCTGTCTGCCTGCCACAGGCTGCCTTATAACTGCTTGAACACAGCTGAGAGAAATGCTGCTGATTGCACTGCAGTGTAACAGGCAGCAGCTGGAGTTGATTTCTCACAGGGAGAGCAGAGTAGGCAGACAGGCCAGAATCATAACAGTACCCCCTCATCAAGGTCTGGCTCCCGACGGACCACTAGGCTGATCAGGGTGGAGGAGAGAATGCCTGGTAACACGTCTTGTCTCGGCTTCCATCAACCACCAACCCTACGCTTCTGTGAGTGTCTCTCTGGGCACGTTTCTGGACCTGTCTGACTCTGAACCTGCCTCCCCGCTCTGAGGATTCCTGGAAGCCTGGATCCCTCTGTTCCTGTTTGGGTCAGAACCATTGATCAGCTGAGGATTCTTGGATTCCTGAACTGTTCCCGTCTGTTCTGTTTTCCCCTCACCTGGAGTGGCTTCCAGCATGTTCTCTGGGACTGCAGCATCGGGGACACTCTGGACGGCTCAGGGCCGCATGTTGTTGGCAGTGCATCTAATCCTGCCTAAGTTGAGTTCATGTCAAACAAGGACAGTGACTCACTCTGATAATCATCTCCTGTCAGATGATCATGGTCACTTACCTGTGTTTCTCCCTCCAGAGAGTGTCAGTGATTGGGCAGTGCCCTGCCCCCCTTTCCCCGCAGTTGCTGCAGGTCCACAGATCCACATTAGCTTGTTTCTGTTCTGTTTTAGTTCTGTTTTGTTTAAATAAACGTTTGAACTTTCCTACTGACTGTCTCACCTTGAATGCTGGCTCCAAACGTCCCGCTTTTGATAACTAAGCTATTAGTAGCCCATACTACTACTTTATTTAATGTAGCCCATATTATTTAAATATCTTTAGCTATTTTTAGTTTTTGGATAAAATTTCAGTTCAATTAAACGCAGAAAACTTAAGAATAACATAAATGAAGTAAGCGATGATCTGTCATCATCCAGGGTCAGTTTGGCTGGTAACAAAATAACCAAAGTAACTCTTGGACGACTACACTTCAGTGAGACGACCGCCAACAACATGAGGAAGAAAGGCAAACCTAACCCTGACCAGAGGTACGACAGTGAGTTCACACAGGAAACGATAAACAAAGGTGGAAATGCTGCTAACTGTACATCTGTGCGCAGGTATTTTCAGATGGTGGTCGGCCTTTATGCCGCTGTCAAAGACGAGACTTTTCTTCTCGCTGCGCTGGTGTCAGAGAGGATTATTGTTCGGGTAAAACCAATGTCTTTAAACCAGTATTTAGAAAAACCAATCCCACTTGTTGAATTTAACTGAACTGTTGGCGTCATCCATCTTAAGGCGTCCAACCCAGGCCAGTTTGAGACAGACAGTGACAGCTTGTGGCAGCGTGGGTCAACGCCAGAGGCTGCGGTCTGTCACGGTCGAGTCGGTATCAACACCGACTCCCCTGATGAAGCACTGGTAGTTTGCGGCAATGCTAAGGTGATGGGCTCCATCATGCAACCGTCTGACTGCCGAGCCAAGCAAAACATACAGGAGGTAGAAAATAAACTTGTATTGAAGTATTTCAATTGATGATCTGAATAAAATTTCTATCAGCTGAATATTTTTAAACTGTGAAACGTTTTTACTTTTCTCATAAGGTCGACTCCGAGCAGCTGCTTAAAAGAATCAATCAGATGAGGATAGTTGAATTTGATTACAAGCCAGAGTTTGCCTCCAACATGGGAATAGATCACACCCATCAGACAGGTATTCCAGCTGCAGCTGTTTCCTTATGGTTTCTGAAGTCTTGAAGGTTTCATGTTTTATTAATATCTTGTAATATTTCAGGTGTAATCGCTCAGGAGATAAAGGAGCTGCTTCCATCAGCGGTTGTGGAGGTCGGCGACGTCATGTGCTCAGATGGGGAAAGAATAGAGAATTTTCTCATGGTGGACAAGGTTCAAAATCCATTTTACTTTTTAAATAGGAAACTTTTACCAACCAATGATAATAAAAAGATATTCAATATACATTTTGACGGACAAAGTGAGGTTTAGGAAAAATGGGCCACAGGAAAAACACATGGATGGCCGGAAAAGAAGAATAATTTTGGCCTTATCTTTATTTTTAGGGCATGAATGGCTTGTTTCATCTCCACCCTGCTGTATCTCCAAAAAACGTCATTTTGATTTTTCTTCCTTTTCCCCTTAATGCTCCACTTAACAATCTAACATTTCACAGGTTATTATTTGATGCAATCCCAGCATAAATATCAAAACCTTTCTCTCCTCCCCCTGCAGGAGCAGATCTTCATGGAGAACGTTGGAGCTGTGCAGCAGCTGACGAAGCTTACAGACAACCTGGAGACTCGAATCCAAGAGCTGGAAGTTTGGAACCGCAGATTGGCAAAGTTAAAGAGCTTAACAGGCAGCCTGCGCTCTACTAGGTACTCATCTTTATTTCTATTATCTCAACTTCTGGAGTTTGGAAAAGAAAAGGACATGAGGGTGGTTTCAGTGGTGGGATTTAATTTAGTTTTGTAAGATTAATTTATGTTAATGGTTTTGGATTGCATTTTCTTGTTGTTTGCAAAGATAATGGAGCAAAATTCATTGCATAGAGTAACATACCTCAGTCCTTAAAGGGTAACTTTGTTTTTCAGATTACTATTTATCTAAATTAAATTTTTACATTTCTTTTAACAATTTTATTCAAAACAATTTTCATATGTTTTTTTGTTTTTGTTTTTCAGTTTGATTTTTTACCAATTTCATTCTTACTAAATTGCGATTTACAGATAACCTATTCACTTCTGTTGGAGGGCCTTCCACTGGAGTGAATAGAAAATGAGCATTTCTATTGGCCTAAATGGACGCTAGCAAAACTTTTATTGGTCAATGTGCATATAGATATATAAAAATAGTTCAATCTGAAAAACTCACACAGAGAGAAAACATAATTAGAAGAATTTATTGATAAGAAAGTATAGTCTTTGGCGCTCAGACCTCGGCAGGAACATTCATGCTGAATTATGCTTTAACATGCATGAGTAGATGAATGTGAATAGGGATGTTCCCCCCGGGCCTGAAACTGGTGGTGGTTTAATCCGAGCTGGTTGACAAGGTGATCTGCTGGGCAGAATTGTGGGACTAGAAGACTGAGGGAGCTGACGCCGGGGCTTCACTCAGACTCGGGATATAGAGGTCCTGCTCGGTGATGCAGGTACCGTGAAGTGTCCATGATGAGCAAGCATGAAGCGACAGTGGAGAGGAAAAACTCCCCTTTGGGAAGAAACCTCTGGCAGAACCGGGCTCAACATGGTGGTCTTCTGCCGGACCAATGCGATGAGACGAGGGATGGTGACAACTGGGATTAATACTCTCTGATGAGGTTGAGGTGAAGTCGTGTCATGGAGGACGATTCAGCTGCAATGGCGGAGAAGGGGATGGAGGTGGGTGAATTGTCGTCTGGATCGAAATCCAACATTGCGATTGCAGGATAGCGGCTGTGGTGAGATTTGAGGGAGTTTATAAAGTGGAAGCAGGACGCTGATTGGGCTTCGTGGTGGAGTAGTTCAAAGCTGATTGGCTCGCTTCGGAGACGGATCAGCTTCTGATGATGTGAGGTAAGTCAGAGTTTCTTCAATTGAACTTTCGCTAGAACTTCATTTCAATCTGAAAAACTCACACAGAGAGAAAACATAATTAGAAGAATTTATTGATAAGAAAGTATAGTCTTTGGCGCTCAGACCTCGGCAGGAACATTCATGCTGAATTATGCTTTAACATGCATGAGTAGATGAATGTGAATAGGGATGTTCCCCCAAAAAGCCGAGGTCGAGGCCGGAGAGTCCGTATGCTCGTAGGGCATACGCTAGGGACAGAATAAAGAATGCGTAATGAAATGCTGAGAAGGTTTGCGAACAACTTACCGAGCCAGGTTGTTGATGAGGATGGCGACCACGGTTGACGCCGAGAACTTACCGATGATGATTTACCCATGATGATGATGATGAACCCATGATGATGATGATGATGAACCCATGATGATGATGAACCCATGATGATGATGATGATGATGATGATGATCCCGATGATGATGATGATGAACCCGGTGATGATGATGATGATCCCGATGATGATGATCCCGATGATGATGATGATGAACCCGATGATGATGATGATCCCGATGATGATGATGATCCCGATGATGATGATGATGATGATGATGATCCCATGATGATGATGATGATGATCCCATGATGATGATGATGATCCCATGATGATGATCCCATGATGATGATGATGATGATGATGATCCCATGATGATGATGATGATGATGATGATGATGATCCCATGATGGTGATGATGATGATGATCCCATGATGATGATGACGATGATGATCCCATGATGATGATGACGATGATGATCCCATGACGAAGATGATCCCATGATGATGATGACGATGAATCCTGCGGATGATGATGACGATGGTGCATCCCATTATGATGACGATGATAATGAATCTTGCGGATGAGTCTGATAATGAATCTTGCGGATGAGTCCATATAGAACATATAACATGACGGGATACAGACATGACGAGACGCAGACATGGTGCATATTGATGCATTGGAAATGCAAGCAAAATGGCGTAGGGATGCATGACGAGACACGACGAGACACAGATAGGGAGCATGTGATGCATGGGGAATGAATCTTGCGGATGTGTCTGAAAATGAATCTTGCGGATGAGTCTGATAATGAATCTTGTGGATGAGTCCATATAGAACATATAACATGACGGGATACAGACATGACGAGACGCAGACATGGTGCATATTGATGCATTGGAAATGCAAGCAAAATGGCGTAGGGATGCATGACGAGACACGACGAGACACAGATAGGGAGCATGTGATGCATGGGGAATGAATCTTGCGGATGAGTCTGATAATGAATCTTGCGGATGAGTCCATATAGAACATATAACATGACGGGATACAGACATGACGAGACGCAGACATGGTGCATATTGATGCATTGGAAATGCAAGCAAAATGGCGTAGGGATGCAAGACGAGACACGACGAGACACAGATAGGGAGCATATGATGCATGGGGAATGAATCTTGCGGATGAGTCTGATAATGAATCTTGCGGATGAGTCTGATAAAGAATCTTGCGGATGAGTCCATATAGAACGTATAACATGACGGGATACAGACATGACGAGACGCAGACATGGTGCATATTGATGCATTGAAAATGCAAGCAAAATGGCGTAAGGGATGCATGACAGGACACGACGAGACACAGATAGGGAGCATGTGATGCATGGGGAATGAATCTTGCGGATGAGTCTGATAATGAATCTTGCAGATGAGTCTGATAATGAATCTTGCGGATGAGTCTGATAATGAATCTTGCGGATGATTCTTGCGGATGGTTACATATATGAAGAATTGATGCATTAGGGAATGCATGCTAAATGGTGTCAAGAATGCATGACGAGACACAGACCAGACGTGACGTGACACACAGGAGAATGCATATAATGCCTGTCATAAAGGTGAGATTGCATGAATGCGAGCCAGAATGAAGATAGCATGAATAGCAAGGAGACAGCATGAAAGACTGCATGAAGCAGGGAATAATGAAGAAAACTGATAAGGAGTGGGAGTAGAAAATGAGTTAGAGGATAGTCGAGATTAGGTCAGAAAATTATGAAAATGAGTTGAACCACCACCAGTATTTGTAATAGAGTTGCCTAGAGGCAGAGAGAGCGCTGAGCTGAGAGAATTGGTGAGAGTTCTGGGCGGATGAATGAGGTATAGGCTGGTAAGCCATCGGCCCAGAGCTGAGGGAAGCCTCAGAACCCCGCGAGTAGCTGCAATGCAGCTGCTCGGTCCAGAACGAATGCCCAGATTACCTACTAGAGGGAAGGCCACGTGATTCTAAGAGTATCCTAAGGTGGTGAAGAACCATGAGTGGACGTAGGGTAATGCTTGGGCGAATAAAAGTGCTGAATGCCTGAACATAACGCACTGAGATGATGGAACGTTAGTGACTGCTGCCAGTGATGCTTCTGATGAAGGCATGAGAGACTGGGAGGAGGAGTGACTTATTAGTGGCTTCAACTACTACGAAGTTATCGCAGTGGGCGGACGCGATTCCTTCCCAAAGCCCCACGATGCAAGCTAGCTAGGGTTAGACCTCACACAAGCATAAGGGGTGTGAATAAAAGAGGCCATGAACCACCTGTCCTGAAGAACCCCCCAAAACCTACGGATGCAGCATCCGAAAAATTTTGAAGCATGGCAGGAGAAAGATAATTTCGACATAGAAAAGAAATTTGTTCCAATTAGAAGCAGTCAGACCAGGAGATCCGAACGGCAGCCTACGTTCAGTAATCTGACCAAGAGAGGGACGGAAATGCCGGATCAAGCAACTGGGAATGAAAGCGCGGCCTTGAGAAATAAGCGCATGGCAAATTAGCTGACCTAGCAAGGAGCGCAATTGGCATTTAGAAATGACTGATGAAGAACATCAGTTTGTGTGTTTTTTTTTTTTTTTTTTTTTTTTTTTTTTTTTGTTGAAGAAGAAGAAGACAGAACGATAATCAGAAGTAATAATAAGGGGTGGTAAGATGACGGGCTGCTAAGACTGAAGTACGATATATATGAAGCGTGCACGGCGGGGACAGACTGATCAGATGGCCTTCCTGCAGAAGCTCTGAGTAATCACGATAGATGCTGAATGCGGCCAAAATTTTGGCCAATAGAAAGATCTCTGGTAGACGGAGATCGGATGATTTAAGAAAAACGGTGACGTCACCTGCTGATCGACTTCAGGGGAGGGAAGAATAAGAGACTAAATTAAAATATTCCCCTGAATAATTAGAACGAGGCTAGTGAAAATATCAGCATGTGTGTTAATATAAGTATGCCTGATAGAGGCAGACGAAGCATAAGAGCAAACTCAAATAGATAGAAGATTATGAATGAAAACATGGTTGAATACGTCTTACCCTAAGGCTGGCCCAGGGCGGGCGTTCCCTAATGTGAATGAGGGGAGGGGGAGGTCCGTCTGAGCAGACAGCGGCAGGGATGACGTGGCAGTGCAGGGATTCCCACGTTTGAGCGTGCGGACAGCGTCGAAGGATTGAGTGAGAGAGTCCGGTGGAGCGGAGGGAGGCTGAGAGCTGTTAAACGCCAGAAGGACTAGACGGGGGAGCTGCTATGAATCAGGAAGCTGAAGAGGTCCAAGGCTGCATCGAAACGATGAGAAGGAGCGGGCATAGCGGTGACTGCTGCTGGGACAGATCCGGGAGGCCTTCTGCGCCTGGCGAGGGGAGCGGAGGACTTGCATGTCTTTTGCGGCCAGGAATCGGAGCGGATTGAAGCGGAAGGCGAGGGAAATGAATCACGAGGAGGTAGGAGGGAGGCTCGTTAAGACATCTGAGCAGAGTCTAGGTCGGAGCCTGGCAATATACCCTTGGAGTGAAACGCGGAAGAAGGAGATGAGAGCGGCTAAACGGGAGCTTCTCCGAGCGGGGAAAATTGAATTGTCGTCTGGATCGAAATCCGACATTGCGATTGCAGGATAGCGGCTGTGGTGAGATTTGAGGGAGTTTATAAAGTGGAAGCAGGACGCTGATTGGGCTTCGTGGTGGAGTAGTTCAAAGCTGATTGGCTCGCTTCGGAGACGGATCAGCTTCTGATGATGTGAGGTAAGTCAGAGTTTCTTCAATTGAACTTTCGCTAGAGCTTCATTGGGTATTTATAATGGAAGGGAAGAGAGTCTGATATGTGTAACGCACATTAAAAAGAATGCAGATCATAGAACTCAATCTGAAAAACAGAAAATGATAAAATAAATTTGAAATGTAAAATCTATAGAGTAAAAAAAATAATAAAAAAAAAATACATTTTTACTGTTTAATTCAAATTAAAACAATTGGAAATATATATTTATATATATATATATATATATATATATATATATATATATATATATATATATATATATATATATTGAAAATTAATTTGAGTTAAAAAGGATTTTAAATTTATCTGACCCAATAGTCTGGACCTGACTGAGGGAGAACCTAGACCCAAACTGCTCTCTCTCAGCATGGTGACTGTTTATTTTGGTGGATACTCACTGCTGGCTGGATATCAGGATGGACATGGAGAGGAGTCTTTCCTGAAAAAAGTAACTAATAGTGTTGCTCCAATGCCATTTTTTGGCCCCGATACCTCGCTGTGCAGTATCGGCCGATACCGATACCATCTGTTTGAAATTGATGTGTGTGTGTATATATGAAGAACTGCATACTACTTGGATGTAAAATAATTGCCATCATGGCTTTGTCAAGCTGCTGCCTACCTTTGTGAAGCAGGAAAAAGACTAATACAAAGTGAATCCAGTAGAACTTTTTATTTCCTACCTAAAAATGGCAAAAATGGCTTAAGACTTGCATCAGACAGTACCCTATTTATTGGTACTCACTGATACCGATATCACCATTTTAGAGCAATATTGGGGCCACGCCTGACACGGGTATCGGTGCAACACTAGTTGCTAATGGTTTATTTTCAAGAAAACTCTAAAGAATGTTTCATTAACTTACTACAAAATCATATGAACGTAAAGAAAAGGTCCTGATGTGGTTGCAGAAGCGATAACAGCTTGCATGTCGTGTCTGTCTTCTAACAAACTGCTGGATCAACTTTTCAAAAATGATGTGCGTCAGTCTGCAAAAGTTCACATTGCTGAACTCCAGCTTTAATTTTGGGAAGCTCTGATGCTTGGACGCTAGGATGCTCTGCTGCACCACAGGACCTGCTGTGAATCAAATGTTTTGATGTCAGAACGCGTTCGGTGTGAATGCACCTTAGGTTATCTGCTAGTTGTGTCTCATTAGGAGAGTAAATTATAGATGGATTAGAATAAAAATACTTCCTTAAGACTACAGAGATGCAAAAACGATCAATTATTAAAATAAGATGTTTCTACAAGCTATAGACAGATATTCAGATAAAAGCTTTTAAAACTTAACAAAGGTTGGGGTAATAAAGACACGACTTTTAAACTCACTACCGTGAAATAAGAGATGAGTTTGGTTTGATTTGAAAAACTCTGGCAAGAAACCAGGAAACAGTTGGTGAAAGGAAGAGAAAGGGTCCATTTTGAAACGATTTGAAGGACTAAAATTTTTTGTGTTTTTTTAAGGTGAATCAAATTGTTTTTCCCTTTTGGCAGCTTTCTCCTGTACAATATGTTGGGTCTTGGTTTTTTTTCTAAATTTACTTTAGGTGACAAATTGCAATAATGGTCGCAATGAAGATTTCAGTTTAAGCTCATCATCTGAGCTTGAACAGCCACTGAAGAACAAATAATAGGACAACAGGATAATCTGTTTAAACATAAGCCAAAATAGAAGAAAACCACACATTTCCTAAAAAAAAAAATGTTAAAATATCCTAGTTGTGCCTTAAATTGTCAACTATTTAAAATGTTCTTGCAATGAAATTTAAATGAAAGCCCGGCCTTTAAAGTCATTATTTGAGTTCTTTAATTTGTTCTCTGCTTTGGAAGACCTCATCCGCTTCATTAGTGTTCCAACTTCAGAAATTGATTACTTGTAACCATGCAGCACCTTGGAAAAACTGATAAAAATGACTCAGTTGCATAACTGAGGCAACAAAGAACTGAGGGAAGTCACAGTCCAAGGACAGACGGTTTTCTAAACGTTCCTGCAGGAGAGAATCAAAAGGTTCACCCAACATGAATGAACCCTATCAGGACTGGCTTTGCCTCACTGTCTTTCACTCCTGACTGGACTAGCAGGTGAGATGCACTGCTGTGCATCGTCAGGCTGCTGTAGACACTGAACGCTCTTTAGTCACATGTATTATGTTGTGGGTCAAGGACAACTGCTCTGACCTTTCTACTTATACTGATAATTTAGAGGTCTTTTTCATCCTTAACATACCATAATTTATATGTCTGTGGACCCAACCAACGGCTGCATATCAGCAGATAACTTCATCTATAGCTGTGCACCAGCAGACGGCCCAATTATCTGAATACTGACTAACCAGACACACCCACAGAAAGGAAAAAAATATTTCAATGATCCAACATTCCTGAATCGACAGGTTTTATTGAAAGGTGTGGCATGAATTATGTATTCAGCCTCATTTACCGCAAACATCCGCTGAAAATCGACCTCACCGATGCACCAATTGGACCCAATTTCCTTCCTTTTGTTGAGTGGTGATCGGCCTGATACTTAGATGTGAAAATCTACCTCTGCAAAGGTCTGAAAATCAGCAGCTGCTACTTTGCATCTACATATTTCAGAACTTCGTTTTTATATTTAACTTATTTTTTTTTTTTTAGATAAAATAAGATTTAAACGTTGGTGTATTGATTTCATAACAACAGTTATCTAAAAACGATCAGTGCACAAAGTAAAGTCAATAAAAAAAAAGGTAAAAAGTTTATTGAAAAGTTAAAAAGTAATGTTAAAAAAGTTAATAAGCCTCGTTAACAATTATATTTTGGTTCAGAAACTAAAAAAAAAGTGCTTTTGTTATTTTTCTTAATATATTCGGGCAAGTTGGCTTCTTGTTATTACATTGGCATAAATTTTTGCCATCAAAATATCCATATTTTTTAATGTTACAAAAGAAAAAAAGGGCTTATATATCCAATAACACTATTGGCTTGAAATTTTGATTTTTAAAGTATTTCACTGAGTGCCATGTAAAGGGTTAATCTAAACAGTTTTAACATCTGACTTTTTGTTTGTGTTCTGCAGCAGTAAAGCTCAGTTTCACAGCGGCGCATCAACAGCTCCGTCACCAGAGCCGTGCAGGACTGCGAAGACTCCAAACAAGGACTGGTGTCACAAACTCCTCCACCTCCTCCATAATAAAATCTTCCTGGCCAGCATCTTTACCTTCCTGGTCACCATTGCTATTTGGTAAAAAAGAAAAGTTTTGCCAGTCTGTTTAAAATCTAAATAATAAAAGGGTATTGACATGCTGACCTTTTCTTTTTACGCCTGTTTGGATGTAGCATTATCTCCGTCTCAGCTCTCTACCTTGTAAATTTAAAGAAGGCGGACGTTGACCTCTTCCCTAACAACAGGTGAACTCAAAATATTTATGTTTTTTAACGCATTTAGAGGGAAAAACTGGTTATTAACTGTTGATAATTTTCTCAAAGTTGAATCATTTATTGTTTTTGAAATCTTGTTTTTTGGTTGCCATGACATCAGCTATGTGTTGTTGTTTTTTTCCTCTTAGCAACAGCAGCGGAGCCCCTGTGACGACAGTAGTTCCACCAACCACAGGTACTGTAGCCCTTACAGCCAGATGTTTAAATTAATCTAGAGATTCAAATCCAGGTGTTGCAGGTTTGTTTGCATTTTTAAAAAACAGATTTTATCCCAGTTAATGAATTTAAATTGAAACAATGATATCCTTAGTAATTATAGGCAGCAGTTTGGAGACGATTATTAAATTTGCCAATCCAAGCAACATTGTGCTTTCTGGAGAATAGTTTTAAACTCTAAAAAAAAATCTTGTTTTATTGATCTTTACAATATCACTGGTAATTATATTTGAGACGTGTAGTTTAACAGCCTGGTGACCTCCCATGTCATAGCGCTCACGTTATAGCACTCTTCAAAGTGTTAAAGTTGTAGGGAAGTCATTTAAACGTCAAATCATTCTGCCTTAAACATGTCTATAAATTTACTCTTTATCAGATGAAATTGTCCCAAAATGTAGAAAATTTCTAAAAAAAATTATCTTATTAATTATTATCTTATGCAGGCCAGTTAGTTATACGTCAGCCTGAACTCCTAAATTCAGCCAATCATTTATCAACGGTCATCTGTCAATCAAAATTTTTTTTTCGGTCATAGTATCTTGATTCATATGTTGCAGCTAATATACGCAACGGTTGAAATAAGAAATAAGAATCGTTTCCTTTCCCATTGAGTTCAGTCCCAGTGTTCACGGGGATGGACGTCTGTGTCTTCAGCAGGCGTAGAGCTAACAGAACTGGCAGCATTGCGAGGCAAGGGCTCAAACATGTACGGCTGGAAGCCTTCTACACCAAACCAAGCTTCTGCCGCCCTGGCGTCCTCTTCCACAACATCTTCGTCCACACTTTGCTCCTCCAAATAAAAAATGTATGACGGAGGAGACTCATCCACGACCTCCGACACTAAACTCTCCTCCTCTTGCATGTTTCCTCTGTCCATAGCGTTCCTTCACAGTGTCGTTTCTAAGTCACCAACTTAGTGCTACTTGGTCCCAATGGATTTTCCCATTGGGAACCTACTAGCAATAAGCTGCTAACTGGTTAGCAACGATGCTTCAGAGAAACCAGCCACAACCAAACAGTCCGCCACAACAATCCCGCCCTCTTGATAAACGACCAATCACATTCACTTTATTCACTCATCTAAAGTCGTGCACCACTCAGGAGAATTCGGAAATGCAATGGCTGGAACGGCCACTTCCCTACGACTTTAAATATGCAGTGTCAAAGTACATTGATTAATTGACTTTATTGATCCCACAGTGGAGAAATATAGTTGTTAAATCAGCTCGAATAGTCAAGAAGAGAAGAAGAAGGTGCCAAAGGAAGAAAAAGGTGCTTTTTTTTGCAGGATTGTAAGACGGGGTTATTGCACAGGGTTTTTACATGGGTTTTTATAAAGATGGATATTTCTATATATAGTTATTGCCCTGGGTGTCAAATATAAAGAGACAGGTTATTGCACAGAGTATTAAATAGTAATTGCACATTTACAGCGCACATGTTATTGCTGTTGTAGTGTCACATTGTAGAGTCTGGGGGCAGCAGGGATGATTGACCTGTGGTACTACATTGACTCTTTTAGAGTTATTACAACAACAACTGGAGTAAGATGTACTCTATGTAGAGAGTTAACACAAATTCAGAGTGGGACCAAATGCACTTGGACTGGTGTTACATTAACTCTTAAAGTGCTACTTTTACAATGCAAAATTTACTTCAAAATAAAACTTCCCCTTAAATATCATTACTTGTCCTTTTTTTCGGGTGATTAAATGTCTAGTGTTGCTACATATTCTGTGACCCATCATATATCGTGATTGGAGGTGCTTTGCAAAACCTAATTTCTAAAACAACCCTTGAAAAATATATCTTGTAGCATCACTCTTACTATCATTTTTTTTTTCATCGTTACTAGCTACATGATGGTGAAATGATTAAACAGGACATTTAATCCCCGAAACTTGGAAAAAGATATATGTTAAAGAATGAGGGTATGGCAAGCTGATTAAAATTTAATCAGTAGGTTTAACTATCCAGTATTACCATTAAAGAAGTCTTTAGTTATTTTGACTAATAGCAATTTCATTGTGATTATTCTGAATTTTGATTTAAGATATCACCAATATACTTCTGACTAAATAAAACTGAATCACAGACATTTGTAATTTTGTTTTGATAAGTAAACATTTAATTAAAGTAACTTGAATAAGCTTTGTTTTGGCTAAATGTCGCAGTGATCAGCTATGAATGCTCACTCTAGCAATGTATGTGTGTATCTATATATATATATAGATACACACACACATATATATATACATATATATATATATATACGTATATATATATATATATATATATATATATATATATATATATATATATATATATATATATATATATATATATGTGTGTGTGTGCGCGTGTACGTGTGTGTGTTTATATATATTTATTAAAATATATATCTATTTATATATATATTTTTTTTGTATAAACTTTGCAAGAAAATCGATACTGGTCTGAAAAATCTGCCCCAAGAAATCGGTTCCACTTCGACTTTGACAGACCTCTATCAGTGGATGTCTAGTTTGAAATTTAGAAGAAAAAAAAACTTTATTGAACATTTACAACAAAACCATGTATATGTAATCTAACATGAGACATTTTTTCAGAGTTTTAGCTTAATTACTGCTGTTAATAGGTTATTCTTTTAGCATAGACATGTATCTAAATCTGTACCATTACTCCTTAGGTAATGATTCAATTAGCAAATTAGTTTGTGATTGCTTCAGTAATCAATAATTTATGATTATTAACCCGTTAAAGCCATTCACCAATGATTTAGATTTGTTGCCTCTGATATTTAAACATGCATGCGATCCTAACACTTCTTCACTTCAATATTCTGCCATACTCATGTGGCGCGGTCCATGGTGCCTTCAGAGGAACGAGACGTCAGATTATCATCTGTGAAACTTCACCCACGTGGTTGTTACTATGCAAACTGTGGAACATTTATGTTTCTTTGTGGTATCTATTTCTCTTAAAGAGGCTAATTACACTGAGGGATACCCTGTGAGCCAGTTTATTATCACCCTGGTTACACATTTACAAAGGGGGATATTCTGTTGTTGGACTTTCCCTGAAGGCATGCAGATCCAGTTTAATATACAAGCTGCTGTCGTTGACATGACAGCAATAAAAACATTAAATATTCTAAAACTAGACACCAAAGGCCAAACAAACCGATCATAACCACATCAAACTTTCAAAAAGATTTCATCAAACAAAGGTTTTTACAGTAACTAAACCATTTTGTCAGATGTTGTTTTTTCAGGTTTTTATATACCGGTGTATATATATATATATATATATATATATATATATATATATATATATATATATATATATATATATATATATATATATATATATATATATATATATATATATATATATATATATATATATATATATATATATATATATATTTTTTTTTTTTTTTTTTTTTTTTTTTTTTTTCTCAAACTGTATTGTTTGAATTTTTAGATTTTATATTTTAATTTTTAATTTTTTTTAAATACTTTCTTTTTTTAAATTGAGCTTTACAAATTGAATTCTTTTGAAATTGCCTTTCACAGATCCCATTCTCTTTATTTCACGACCAAATTAATAAGCTGATAAAATACAAATTGAAAAGAGCAGAATTTGTTAAGCTTAATCTGAAAACAGAGAAATGTAAATACAAAAGAAAATTCATTTAAAAATGGAAAACAAAAATAATAATAATAAAAAAAATAATAATAGAAAATACATTCGCTTTGGAAAGTGACTGTATGTGAATTGCTTTGATTAGGAATTATTACAAAGTTAGATTTATCACCTTTTGCATTATGTCTTTGTTTGCAACAACAATGAAACAAATTTAACGAGTAAATAAACCATGTCATACATGTGATATCTGTCATCATCTTTAACACGTCTATGAATCAAATTTTATTCTTTTTTTTTTTTTTTTTTTTTTTTTTTTTACAGTGTCCTGTCTGGCAAGGTGGCAATAAGAATAATTGTCTTGATGCCAAAAGGAGCCCAACAGATTTTACTTTCACAAGTGTAGCGGTATCGCAATTGCCATACTGCTCCACTTGTTTCATGTATATAAATTGCTTTATTATAATTATGCAGGGAGTTTTACAGTTCATATGGACACTGCAATGTAAGTAGAGCAGAAAAACAGGAGAAGAAGAAGGAAAAAGAAAAAGAAAAAAAACAGGACAAAAGATGAGAGAAAGAGGAGATAGGAAGGAGAAAATGACAAAACATTTTCAGTCTGCTTCAACACCTGTAATGAGATGGAAAAAAGAAAAAAAAAAGAAAAAAGAACAGCACAACCAAAAAACATGGTACGAGATATACAATAAAGCAAACACCTTGAAACTATCGCTAAAGTAATATTATTAAGTCTGACATGTACTCTGTGTTACCTGAAGATATGAATGTGGGGTTTCTGTTTGGAAGTGAATCTCTAAGTACCTGAAGCATAGCACCTGTAGTTGTTTGTGAGGGTGAACTTGTGCATGTAAAGTTTTAACCATAGAAAAAATGCTCAATAGTGGTTGTGGAGAGCCGGAGAGGCGCCCCCCCAGAGCACTGAGTCCAGCGCCGGGAGACCCAAAGCCCCAGGCGCCCAAGGGGACCCCAGAAGCGAAGGCACCAAGGTGGGGCCAGCCCCGGAAACCAGACCCCACCAAGGCAGGAGGAGAGACAGCCACGAAGAAGCCCCCCAGCCACCGCCCTGCCGGCGCCCCGGGGAGCCGCGGGGACGAGTCCGCGGGCCCCGCCGGCAGCCGGCCGCCCCGAAGTAGGGCCGCGCACCGAACACCAGCCCCCCCACGGCGCCGACCGAAACGCCCCAGCCCCACAGAGCACCGAAACACGCCCCGCCCCCCAGCACCAAGCCCCGGCGACCGGCCGCAACACCCACCGCGACCGCACCACCCAGGAAAACACTCAGGCGGCCCCGGCCGGGGCCCACGCGCATCCGCCGCGAACCGGCCGCGAGCGCCGCGGGACCCCCCCAAAACGCCCCCCCGGCCAAAAGCGCAGCCCCACCCCACCAAGACCGATGCCAACAGCGCGCAACGAAACACACCGCGCACAGAATCAGCCCGAGAGCAGAAAAGCCGCCCGGCGCAAAACCGCAAGAAGAGCAGACCGCAGCCGGCGCAACCACCCCCTCCAGCAGCCCGAGGGGCAGCACAAAGCCAGAACAGAGCGAACCGCGCCGCCCCCCCCACCGGACGAAGCCAAAGCAGCCCAGCCACGTCCGCCGCCCCCCCCCGCCGCCCGCACCAGGCCCTGACACGCGGCCAGAGCAGCTCCGCCGCCCCGGCCCCCAACGACGCGCCGGCCATAGCCACTCCAGGCCCCCACCCGCCCCGCAGCCCCACCCGCCGCGATCAGCGGGAACAGAGCAGCCCCGCCATGCCTCCAGGAGGGAAAACCCACCCGAATACCCAGCCAGCGCAGCCAGCCCGCCCAGACCTGCCCCCCAACACTACCCCCGCCGGAGCCGCCTGGACCCCCACACACCAGCGGCGCGCCGCCAGCAGGACCCCCACCCAGCAGGCCCGCCCGCCCCCCGAGAAAACAGACATGCCAAACCCCCCCCAAAAAAAAAAAAAAAAAAAAAAGGAGCCCCCACAATGCGACAGCGGACACCAGACACCGACCCGCCCGCAACCGCTCCCCCCCACCGAGGAAGAGAAAAAAAAAAAAAAAAAACATAAATAAATAGGTAAATAAATGAATTAATTAATAATTACAATTAAAATAAATAGGCAAGAGCAGAAGTGCGAGCGGAAAAAACCGGAGCCCAAAACAGGACCCAAGACCCGCACCCCACCATGCCGTGCAGCTCCCCCCCCCCCCCGAACCGATACCACAGAACCGGCATAGGAAAGAAACACCGCCCAGGAACCGGCATCGTAGCGAAGGCACCGGCACCGACCCCGAAAATCCCCGAACAACACCCAGCCCCACCCCGAAGCGGATCCAGTCCCAGGCCCCAGGGATCCGAGGCCCCAAGGGCACCCGATCCCCAGACAGGAGCCCCAGCAAAGCCCCGGCCGGCCGGGGCCAGCGGAGAGGCCGCCAGGAATGAGCCAGCAGTCCCCCGGGCATCCGGGTGCGGTTGAGACCCCAACCTGGGAAAGAAAAAAAAAAAAAAAAAAAAACACACCATCTCAATCATGCCTTCCCTCCCTAGTGCCCCCACTCGTACCACAGGAAAAAAAAAAAAAAGAAAAAAAAAGAAAAACAAATTGAATAAAATAATAATAATAATAAATAAAGAAAATAACAACGCGGACACACATTCACACATAACACTCACATCCAATAATACCAGGACCAAAAACCCGGTGACACCGGTGGTCGGTCCCGGGACTATCGGATGACCCCATAAGTGAACCTAAAATCCGGATGTGAGGGGAGGGGAGCGGCGACACCGCCACACCAACCCATCTCTTTCCTGCTTCAAGCCCGGCCCCCCACCCCGCACACGGACCATACCACCCCCAGCAAGAGCCCCCCCCGGGACCGGGGCCCACCCATCCCGCGCCGGCCACCCAACCAGAACCGCCCCCCCCCCCCCCCCCCCGAAAAGAAAGAGAAAAAAAAAAAAAAAAACCTTCGACCAGGCACTTCTTGCCCCTCCTTCCAACCTTCTTTGGGGAGAGCAGAGGTGACAGCCCCGCCACCAGCAGGCCACCTAGGCCCCGCAGCCAGCCCCAGCCAAAACCACGGACCAGGTGGCCCGCTCTTCCTCCAGGCCCCAGACTCCAGGCAGCAGCCGGAGAACAGGGGTGTGAGAAGACCCCGATCCTCACTGCGCCCGCTCGAATGTGGTATTGTTGCGTGTTGCTCTCAGATGCAATTAAAACTGGGAGTACCAAGAGGGGGTGTCCGGCACACTCCACCCCCCCTCCAGGGGATAGACGGTGCCAGCACACCCCCCCCCTTCGACAACCCTCAACCCTCAATGTCTAGATGCGACATTGAGGGCGACAATTTTATTCTTAATGGTTAATGTTTACTTTATATGTCAACCAGCCGGAGCAGGGGGATATTTTTGTTTCAGTACAGCCTGTTTAAGGCAGAAACTCATACATACATGGGGGATGAAGTGTCTGAAGCCTTGCTGCCGTCAAACGCGCTGCACTTAAACTTAAGGGAAAAAAAGAGAGAGAAGCATAACAATAGGTAAAAGGAGGGGGGGAAAAAGCATATTTCACACTTTATCGTTGGCAGGATGCAGTCTGAGATTGCAAAAACAAAAACAGCACAAACAAACATACAGAACATCTTGTGAGGAAACAAGGAAGGCAGTATGAGTAGTGCATGTTATATCTGTAAGCATACATGTGTGTTTTTGTTTGTGCAAAGTTTAATCTATAAAAACACAGTCCCTGTGGCCATTGTCCTTGATTGTACGATGTTATGTTCATCAATAAGATGCACACGGAGTAGGTTCACAGATCTCCTAAGGGAAGGCAGGGAGCATATTGTCATGTTTGCATAATACCCAGGAGGAGTTTATCACATATGGCCTTCAAGGCCGTACATGGGAGCCAGATTATAGATAGAAACATTATGTTTGGGTCAGGATGGCTGTTGAAGCTTAGGCTTCACAATGGCGAATCGAAATAGAGAAATTCCTTGTCCTTAAGACCAGATCTGCGCTTAAAACTTTCTCTAGGATACACAAAAACACACAATCTACCATTTCTGTCAGGAATCCATTGTGTATCTGGAGCAAAACATTCTGTCTGAACAGGAGGGTCTTCCTGTCGAGAAAATGTGTGTGTATATATATATATATATATATATATTTATATATATATATATATATATATATATATATATATATATATATATATATATATATATATATATATATATATATATATATATATATATATATATAGTTTTCTTTCATATTTTGAAGCCCTCTTATTTATACCTTTAAAGACATTACAAAATGCATTGTTCTAGCATTCATCCAGATTAATATGCTGATAATAAATTTCTCTTACCCCCTCTAGCTTCTTCAACCACACCTCCTGGTTCCTGGCCTCCTGATGTGTCCTTCTGTAATCTGCTATACTGCGATCAGGTGTACTGCTGCCCTTCATCTGGAGGGGGCAGCACTGTCTCCAGCATCCCAACATCAGTGTTAAACGTTCCAAAAGGTAACAGCAGCTTGGAGCCAGCAGTGCATTCATATAAATAGTCTTCTAAAAGAGGACACACATCCTGATGGTTTTGTTCTACAGGAATAGGACAAAAAAACGGTGGAAATCACTTCAACGCTGCCAGAGACTGTGAGTACTGCTGTTTGACACCATCTGGCCACATGTTTTCAGAAGATTTTATCAAATTACATTAATAAGGATGAACCCTTTGTCATTTTACAGCCACAATTATTTTTTTTCTGTTTGGATTTTATGTAATTGTAACAAAAAGAAATGCAGAACTGAGAAATGGTTGAAAATTTGAGAAAGACCAATTTTCTACATCTAGAAACTGAACACCAGTTTTGAGTCTTTCCTCAGATTTTCAGTTAGGACACTTAAAGCTATAGTGGACCATGTTCTTTTTTCGGGTGGATCGTCTAAATAAGTGGTCCTCCTAACTGTCAATCATTCCGGTGATACGTTGACCGTCCCACATGCTCGTCCCTATTTTCACTTTCCGGTGGAGAGTCTGACATAGTGGAGAAATTGCAAATCTTCTTCTGGAAGGTTAGTTTGTGTGAGCGATGCAAGCAGCAATTTTTAAACAGAGCGTGCACGAGGAGTAATGGGCGCGTGCACGCTCACACGTGTGTAATAAGTTTTACAGGGTTGAGCATGTGCATTTTCAAAATGGAGAGGGCGGGTCTTTTAAAAAATCCGCAAAAATCCTCCACTATACCTCTAAAAGAGTGCCCATAAAAATGCAATTTCATTCGCTGAAACAAGGGAGCTCTCTGATTGGTTGCCGTCTTTCTAGCATTGGTCAATAAAGGAAGTCTGGAGAGTTTAAAAAATCCACAAACCGGCAAATTACAAGCAACTTACAAATCAATATGTTTGTGTCCATCAGAAATATATAGCTGACTTTTTTCATGTGTATTTATGAATCTCTTGTGTGCTTTTACAAGTCTAGAGTTTGCATTTCTGCAAGCAGTGAATCCGTCTTTAATGAGTCCAATAGTATTTATGTCTGCGCTCTGACTCAGCCAAATGTTGACCCTCTAAGACACACCCTTCCTCATTTGCATAAGGAGGCAGAAATTCATTCGGAAATGTAAAAACGACGAGCAGAAATAATTAGCATTTAAGAAATAAATAGGGGGGAAAAATACAAAGGAATAATAATGCCCCGTCCACACGAAGTCAAAACGAACACGAAACGCTAATATTTTCCAGAACGTTTGTCGTAAAGACGGAGACGTAAAATAAATGTGATCGTCCACACGAATGCATGAAAACGCTGCAAAATGTATGCCAGGCCTGTAAGTGGCGCTGTGGTGCCAAAGCAAAAATAGGCGACAAAATGTTGGGCATGCGCACTAATATTTATACATGGTTGCCCTGCGGGTCCATTTTCGTGGTTCAGTCAAATTCAGGTGCTGAACTATGTCGTCGATATTACTCTGTTCTTCCTGGAGATATTCCAGAAGAAGAAGATTCTGTTGTAAGCCCGACAGCAGGGTGAGTAGCATTAGCAGCAACCATTCAACACAGTACGGCGCCATTGTTGTTGTGATACTGTGTCGCGCATGCGTGTTTAGAGGTGACGCTATGACGCATGCGTGTGAAAAAAAAAATGCGGTTAGAGCTTAAAGATGGAAACGCGAAAACAGCGTTTCAAAATCTTCCCACTCTGAAGGCTGAATAAAAAAAAGATCCTTTACAGACCCTCGAAACGCCGGCTTCGTGTGGATGAGAGGTTGGTTTGGTGAAAAATTTGTGCGTTTAGGCCAGGGTTTGACTTCGTGTGGACGGGGCCTAAAACAGTTAAAATATTATAAGATGCACATAAATAAATACTTTAAAAAGTAATAAATAAAGTTGATGATTATAACGGACAAAAAATAAATAAGGTAATTATTACAAAGGTGAATAAATAAAGAAGCTAATTAAAAGAGATATATACATTTATGTCTCACTGTATAATTTAATTTCTACCTATATTTATTTATTATATTTTTGGGCGCAAATTAATTGTATGCTTATTTAATTATTGAGCATTTATTTATTTATTTTTAAATATGGTAGAGCTGGTTCTCCATATGAGCCATCTTACCACATGGATGACTTTGTTTTGCACCTTTTTACTGTATCCATATCATTAGTCTGATATATATTTGTAAAGATTCATCGGATATTTCAGATTTTTAGGCAAGGCAAGTATATTTGTTATTGTTAATATTGCACAATTAAATACAAAGGCAATTCATACTGCTTTACTTTGAATTCAATATCTATAGCTTTATATTTACCAATGTTTGCATCATTTGTTTTTTTATTTTCTTTTGTTCTAAAACATGTTCTTACATAAAATCCCAATAAATTATATAGAATTTTCTGGCTCTAAAATTACAAAATGTTTTTAAAAAAAAAACTTAATAAAATTTATTTTTTATGTCTGTAAAAGTCGGGTAATTTCTGTTTTTGCAGAAATTAGTCAAATTTAACAACCTCTTCTCTTTGCCTCCATCAGGGCTAAACACAACCATTCACACATTCATGATTAAAGAGAACAGGCAGGTGATTGACAAGAGATACTGCCTGAGGGATGAGTGTGGGTAGGTAGATCAGTATCATAGATCTGTTTCTAGAAAAGTATCAGTCTCTGCATTGGGCTTCAAACATTTAGAAAAATTAGCCTGAATTTGCAGCTGGTTCTAATAACATTTATGTTTTTTCCCTTCAGACCAGAGCGATATGTTTTCAGAGTTCCCATCAGCCTGTTTGTTCCTGTTAACATGAGGATCACTCTGCTTATGAAGTAAGAACTCACTGAACAGAAAAAGAGAAAAAACAAGCTTGTTCACATAAAAACTCATTTAGAAAAATACTTTAACTTAAAGGATACATTTTTTACATATTTGATTAAGGAGTTTCAATTTTTTTTTAAATAAACTATTTAAATATGATGCATTCCAACATAATCTTTTCCTCTTGGATACTTTTTATTTCACTTCATGAATATAATTGGAATCATCAAGTTTCTAATAACTTGCTCTTTAGCTTAGAATAGAATTAGCTCCTTCCTTTATAGGTGGAAAAAAAAAAATTTACACCTTAAATGTATTACTTCCAAGTTAATATCATATTGTTGCCTTCAGCTAACATACTGTTAACTATGGTCAAGTTGCTTTGCCTTAACAATATTTCAGAGTAAAACTTGTTATGGACATATGATATTTAAGAACTGTATGTTGGTAAAGATTCTCTGTCCTCCAGGCTGTAGTCATTCCAAAAAACAAACAAAAAAACCCTTTGACTTTGTTTCCAAGTTTGAAGATGTTCTCATCCAGGAACCTTTTTCAATTGAAAATGTCAGAAATAGCGTTAAGTTTGAGGCTTTATAGAGTGGACCAACAAAGCTTTGTTTTGGCTTAAGGGCTGGTTATCCTCAGCAGTGCATTGCAGTGAGCTTGTCACAGATATTTGTGATTTATGCCTAATTTTAAAGCGTGGTCTGCCCAATGTTATTCCACGCAACAACGTAAGAGGGACAATCACGAACTAGCTGTGGGTCTAGATACGGCGGAGGCAGTGAGGCAGTGGGGAAAAGTTTGTGCAATAACAGAGGGACATGAGGGCGAAAAAGAGCGGGGATCCATGTGGACAAAGGGTCCCGGCGTTCTTGCGCACCGCGCTCTTCTAGCTGGTCCACCTTCACGAGTCGTTTTCCACAATGGGGGTCATACAAACAAAACAAGCCGGTAAGGAACCAAACAGGAAATATGCATAGAGTAGAACAGATGTAGAATTGACTAATCAGAGGCCTCCTGTCTGCGGTCACCTACGATTCTGGAGTGGTGAAACAGAGTGTCTGTGCAAAGGGGCGGGGGTACATTTGCATTTACTGCGACACACATGCAGACGACTTGGTTTCTGAGTATAAATCAGCTTTTAGAAAACATGCAAATTGAACCGGACAAATGGGTCCACCCCTTCAGCTTTCAAAAACCTACAATGCAGCAATTGAGTTTATTTCTGCTGTCATAGCAACCCCCACCCCCTTACAGGGGAACCGAAGACTTCGCCTGTTCAGCCAGGCCAACGATTCCCTTTAACGACCCCGCTTTCAGAGACATAGACAGGTATGGGGTATTACAGGCTAACAAAAAACCCAAATGACCCCCATTCCAAATGGACCGACCCGTTGGTCTGTTTCAATTTGCACATTTTCTAAGCCAAACCAAGGCTTTGTTCGTCGACTCTATAAAGCTTCAAACTCAACCAAATTTCTGACATTTTGAATTGAAAATGGTTCCTGGATGGGAAGTGAAACGTCTTCAAACTTGGAAACAAAGTCCAGTGGATTGTTTTTTTAGCTTTTTTTTTTAGAATTAAGAACTGTAATGTACTGATTTATCTTCCATATAGATTTAGTCAAACATCTGCCGCAATTATTAAATCTCAGTTGATTCACCAGAAAACTATTTAAACATAAATTTGTTGCAACCAACTATTTAAACATGCTTTTTAGTTAATGGGAAACGTTACTTGCTGTAAAGAAAAGTAAAACATGAAGCTCACAATTAGTGATTTATGCTTTAATATTGCTTTTTAATGCTTTTTCAGTTCTACTGAGTTGTTGGTGGTTCATCTATGTGCTGTAGATGAGTCCACCACCTGTTCTGCTCTGCTGAGCACAGACATGGCCAGTGAAAGCAGGTACCCATCAAATACACAGGTAAATATCAGCAAAGTTTTTTTTTTACTTCATGTTTTTCTTAAATCATATTTAACATTGCACCAAAAGTGCAGAAGCTTTTTTTATTTATTTGTTTAAATGGCTGATATCAATAAAACTGTAGAAATTTTGCTTTGCCCTCTTTAGAAAATCTAACTACAACTTAAAAAAAAATAAAAAATACTTGCATATTTGGTCAAAGTTTTTGTCTAATTATAATTGGGTTACATTAAACCATGCATGTTTTCAAGAAGATTTAAAAAATAAAAGCTTCATACCTTTCAAAATCCTCCCCTTCGCCGGTGACCCGTTTTAAAGCGTTTACAACTAATAACTGAAAATTACAACTGTAAAATTTTTAACAATATAGACATGTTAGACATCCTTGGAAAACTTAGATTCTGCACGATTCAACCACTAAGTTCCTTTTATAGACACAGCGAGCACCAAAGCTCAATTAACACAGATATAGCAGCATGTTAATCATGTAAACAAACAAAGCAGCCAGAACTACATACATTTGAAGGCGTCCAGAAGCCGTTTTATAGATCCTATCTTTAATTTACATTCTATTCGTCCATAAAGATGCACAGATTAAAAGTAATCCAGAATATTCATAATAAAAATATTCCATGATGAGAAAATCACCACAAAACGTCCGGTTGTAAGCATCAGAAAAGTTAGCTGGTCATAGTTAATGCTTATTATCTTGCTAATATTTACCTCCTAATACTAACTTCCTCATTTGTTTGCCCGCAATGTTTGGTATGCTTCTTTACATCGTCTTTTTATCTAAAAGACAAAAGTATCTGCATCTTTTTATGACTTGATTTGAGTCAGGGACAGCCAATGATGTACCAAGTGGAGCGATATTACGCCTCATAGAGTCCTGCTGTTATTGGTTAGGACCATCTGAGCTGTTTGGCGTTGAAGCCTTGAAATAAGGTTCCAAACAAACCTAGACATGGCTGGGTTATATAAAGGGGAGCCATGAAACACAGCTGAGAGAGGATTAATGCGCGCAGCTCCAAGCTGAATAATAACAACGGTCCAATATTTTGTAATTTTGGACGCTGATTTTGCTTTATTACAATGCCCAAGGCTGGAAAAGAAAAAAAAAAATATATATATATATATACAGCTAAGAAAAGGTACTGGTGCTTATTTTAGCTTGAAAAGCAGCATTTTCACTATTTTTTTTATGGATTCTTATGTTATTTTTAGGTTTATAAATGTTACATTTTGTTATATACACTCATTCTGAAAAAAAAAAGTGTAAAATACTTGCTTTATAAATATTTGTAGCCATCAAAATGCTTCAGTGTTATTCTATGGGTCAAATAAATGAGTAAAAGAATTTGAAACAATTTGGCACATTTGGAGAGATTTGTAGAGGCAGGTGACACCTACAGTATAAAGCCTCACAGCTCTGAAACTGTTGTAGCGAGAGGTCTGACACTTTCTGCATTTGTGGTTGACATGATGTAGACAAATTTTTATGCAATGAGACCTGCCTTTTCTCAAGCATGTCTTTATTACTGCCATTCTACTGCCATTATACTACTTTGACTCATGTTTAAACTGATGCAGCTTAGGCTGTGTTATACTCACTATTTCCATTTATACTTACAGAAACTGTCATAATTTTAGAAAGTTCAGACCCAAATGCAGAAACCCGAACAGAGAGACCAGGGAAACGGTTTAATGGGTTTTATTGAAGAAGTAAAACAGAGGGAGAAGTGTTGCTCAGAACACTGCTCAACCGGAACTGTAAAGTGAGGGGAAGACACAGCGGTTAGTTCAGGCTCAGTGGGGAATTTGACTCGTGAACTTGGAGAAGAGGATTTGGTTGCTGACTCACGTTTCCAGAGAAGTTGTTGAATCCTTGACTCCTGTCTATGTGCTGTAGTTCCAGTATTTGTCTGATTCGGTGGAGGGCGGAAAAGGGTTTACCCAGAATGCGGTTGTTAGTTGGTGAACAGAGAAACTGACTGCCACTCAGATCTCCTGCAGTACTTGAACGGGTCGTAGTGGAGAATAATCCCTTTCTCAGTGAGAAGCTCAAACGATCTCTTGGGGAAAGTGGATCCAAACTTCCTGTTTGAACCCCAGCTCAGTTTGAAGGTCAGTTGATCCTTCCAGGGAGAGAAGGTCAGAGAAAACCAGTTTGCAGGATGACTTCCTGCGTAGAGGCAAAGACGAAAAACAAAGTTAAACTCAGGTTGACAAAAACTCAGTTTGACTCAACAAAAACTCAGCTTGGTTAGAGTACCCAAAACTGGCAAACATTCTGGCGTCGAGGTAGTGGCGGTCAGCAGCTTAAAAACACTCCGTTAACGAGGAAACCATCAGCAGGTGTGTGAGGAGGCGGACCAGAACCAGGCGCCTCCTGGTGGATGAAGGGAGACAAACACAGAAACACAAACACAAAGACAGGAGTCCTAACAGAAACTAGAAGCTTTCAAATGATGCAACACGCATATCATTTGGTTTTACAGTTCCTCAGTTATTTGCTTTTTCATTTGAATATGCAAAATAGGTGAGGATTACTTCAAAATGAGGTGGATGTTAAGAGAATGAAATTCATGTAAATAATTCAGGAAATGTGAAACTTCTACCAAACATAAAACATGAATACAGTTTAAAATAACTAATCTAAATTGGAATTTAGAAAAACAATGAAAGTGGTTGTTTTCTCTGACGGTTTAATGAATGTGAATTAATTCATGGTCTGTGTCTGCAGGGGGAGCATGAGTGGCCTCTTCACGTGGCTCGTCTTTATCAGAGCGCCTACCACTTCCGCTCTGCTGTCGCTGTAAGCAACAGATTATTTCTTTTTTCATGACAAAAGTCAACACAAACAGCATCAAGAGTTTAAGTAAATTAAGATAATTAAAGTTCGGCTCGATAACACATACATTTGATATTAGGATTTTTCTATTGGAAACTGAACAAATGACAAATTTTATTATTATTATTATTATCATTATTAAAATATAAACACAATATAATCACAGAATATTTAATAAGAAAATTACTACATAGTACAAAAATGACCAAAACATTGTTTGTTTCTCCAGGGTCAAGCAGACTGCAGTACTGACCCTCACTACGCGGGGGCGCTCTTCACAGATTATTACTTTATTTTCTACAGACGCTGCAGAGATTCATAATAGACATGAACTCACAAATAAAAAAAACAAACAGTTTCATTTTGCAGATCCCTACTTTCACAGACGAAGGTTGCGTTTCCATTAACCGTCAAATTGCTCAAATTGAATCACACTAAATAAAATTAGCAAACGGAAACGCTACAGTTTCTAAAGCATTCATGTTTTTTAATGCTATTTCGATGAGGTGCTTTTTTCCATCACATCCAAATTATTATATTTTGCAAAACTGCAATGGAAACACTTTTTTCACATCGCACAAGTGAAGTGATCTGCAACTGGACCTTACTGCCTTATAAAGACGAAGGAGAACGGACATAGTTGGAGGATGATGGCGCCCTCTAGAGGCCTGGCTGAAATACGAATAGATCTACATCCGCTGCTGCCATGTTATCAGTTATCACGTGAACAAACAGGTTCACGTGCAATTTTACTTGTATATCTCAACTAATGTAAACACCACAACAACAAAATTAGCATATTTTTTAAATTTGCAGAATACCGACATTGTTTTGCAAACATTTGTAATAAAAATACAACTAAAGAAGTTTTACAACTTTTTTTGTTTTCAGAAATTGCAAATGCATTGTATAGAAAAAGGAAAAAAATTCTAAAAGCCACCAGTATCCAAGGTTTCTTAGATAACACAACTTGTCCCCATGTTTTGTACAGGCTTGTGGCTTTGTTGATCCTGCACAAAGAAATCTATCTTGTCTGCAGCTCAGAGATTTGAAAAACAAAATCTTCTGTATGTATTTTCTTTTTAATTGTTTTTTTCCATGAAGCACTGGAAAGCTTCAGCCTTTTTTACATAACAATTGAGTTTGTACAGATATAAACGGATATAAACCTGAGGGTTATTAGACATGGCTGGTCAGCAGGTTACGTTTCTTATGGCTAAAACAAATTAAAATATATTTTAACGTGGCTACAATTGGGTAGTTGGGATTATTTTTTGCTGTTGTTGTGAAGTCAACAAAAGTAAACTTGTGCTTCAAAAATAAACCTCTAGAAAATAATTATTTTAACGAGGCAACAAATATCTGAAATCAAAGTCGAAGTAAACAAAAAGCATTTATGGACATTATTAAAAGCAAAAATCTCACAGCCAGAGATTAACCTCTAAGCGCTGAATGACCCAAACATTGTCAGCTTTTTCAGATTGTAATTTAAACCTGGGGTTCTTGTGGCTTTTTGCCAGCTCAGGCGTGTGTTGCCATATTTGTACAGTATGTGTTCAATGTTTTGTTCCTGGAAGCCTCCTGATTTAAATAAGTTATCATGAACCATTTTTTTCTGACATATGAGAAAAGACTTGTAGCTCCTTGGGAACTACAATTATCCAAACTAGAATCTCAAATGTGCCATTTTGCTTTGTTATTGCTGTTCTGTTTGAAGAAAATTGTTTAAAAAAAAAAAACTTTTTTTATCCATCCTTTAAAATCAGAATCTTCTTGTTCAGTTTAATTCTTATGCTAAATAGCTTTAACAGCAAATTTTAAAACAGATTAATAAATTGTTATAGCAATTAACAAGTTCACACAAAATATTGAGTTTTCTGTAAACTGGATTTAAAATGTGTGTTATTGGTTCCAACTAAAAAATATGTTTACCTAAAAGAACGACAAAGGGATGCTATGTGAGTTATTTATGAATGTAACACTGTTTAACTTAATCTTTTCTATCAGAAGAACTGAGTGAATCTGACTGCTTTAATAAAATGTTCTTGCATGGTTGTATTATTTGTTTGTTTTAATCATTTTTTTTTTTTTTAGAATATTGTAATGCATGTTGATCATTTCAGGGCTGCTCAGTGCACCAATCTTCTTGCAGCAAGAAGGTTCTTGGTGCAATTCCCAGCCCGGGGTCTTTCTGCATTGAGTTTGCATGTTCTCCCTGAACATGCGTGGCTTCTCTCTGGGTACTCTGGCTTCCTTCCATTGTCAAAAAACATGACTTTTAGGTTAATTGGCTTCTCGAAATCCTCCTTTGGTGTGAGTGTGTGCCTGAATGGATGTATGGATGAATGTTCTCCATTAATGATGGCAGTGATGGGCTTTCATCTATGTCCATAAGTCAAAGAGCCAGACCAAAGGCTGGTTTATGCTCAGAAACCAGGTCTGCGTGTGTCACAGTGAAAGCAAATGTGATCCCGCTCCTTCTGCAGACACTCTGCTGCACCTCTCCAATATTCTAGATGACCGCAGACAGGAGGCCTCTGATTGGTCAAATCTACATCTTCTCTACACTATGCATATTTCCTGTTTGTTACTTTATCGGCTTGTTTTGTTTGTATGACCGCCATTGTGGAAAATGACACGTGAAGATGGACCATTTAGAAGAGCGAGGAGCGTGAGAACGCTGGGACCTTTTTTCCACCTGGGATAAAGTGTGACGGAAAAATGGATGGATGGATGGATGTTAATCGTGTCAATATCTAAATTTACACTTAATAAACATACACATTTGCTTTCAAAATAAATTATTTCAAAATGTCACTCGTCAATTCAGTGCGGCTTGAATGCCAAATCTAATCTTTACTCGTCATTTCTGTAACACAAGTTCTCGTGGGACATCTATAATTGGAAGTGGGAAACTATTTTTTGCAGCAAAAACACAGTAGTAAACATGCAAAAAAAGTATTTATAACTTTCTCCAAATCTTAAATAAGATGAAACTACATGTGATTTTGCAAACAAAAAAAAGTAAACCATTTATTTTAAATTCTGGAGGTAGCGCACACATTATGGATGCCTTGGGCAGAATTCAAATAAACTATTTTAATCTAGATTAGATTAAATTACAAGATAATAGTGAGATTAATCTAGATTTTTTTTTAAATAATCTATACCCACTGCTATTTGTGAGGTTCTTTTTATCAAAAAGAAGCTTTTTGATTCAACTGCTGATGGTTTTCTAAGTAGGAGTTCTGAACTGAATGCAAATGTTCACTTAGCATGACTGAACGACCCATGCTGTCTGTTACTCTCTGCTTAATTCCTCTTACTATGATGATATTCCCAAGATGATGGGACAAATGAGGAGAGTTAGGGGATTGTTGGCCTAGTGGTTAGAGCAGTGTGCTTGTGCTCTGAGAAGGTTGCAAGTACCCGGTTTGATTCCCAGAACCTCCGATTATATATTTAAATCAAATTTTTAAATTTAATGGGATATTTAATTCATTTGGGCTGAACGGTGATGTAGCACTGTTGCCGTGCAGCAAGAAGGCTCTGTGTTCGATTCCTGGAGTCTTTCTGCATGGAGTTTGCATTGTTTCTCTCCTGGAACTCTGGCCTCCTCCCACAGTCCAAAAGCACGACTTGTTAATTGGCTTCTTTAAATTGTCCTTAGGTGTAAGTGTGTGTGTGGTTGTGTGTCTCTGTGTTGCCCGGTGACAGACCCCGCCTCTCACAGACGGACATCGGCCCCACCGTGACCCTGATGGAATAAGTAGGAGAAGATGGATAGATGGATTTAATTAATTTTGTTTAATTGTACATCTTAAAATTTCATGGTATCTTACATTTAAACCATTGGATAAAAAAAACAAAAGCTACATCTGCTAATTTCATGGTCCGTTTATTTAATCCATGGAACAATATATTTAGGTATCTCTGGTTATAATTTGGCTTTCCATACACCTTGGAGTTAATATCATAAAGATTATTAAAATCATCTTGCGACCTTGGGGGTCACAAACCCCACTTTTAGAAACTGTGTTACAAAATAATTATGTCATTTATTTTTTTTTTTTATGAAAATAAGATGTCATGCTCACACATTTTAGATAATATCAATTTACAATGTGTTTTTCTGGAAATGTATTTTGGATTTCTCTGAATAAAGTGTTTAGTAGTTTTTCGTAATGTAATTGTGTCATCTAGTCCAGCTGAATGCTCACTAACAGCCTGATGACTAATTCAGGTGGAGGAGGACCGCTGCAAACACAAACCTAATTAAGTCTGAGAAGGAAACGGCTCAGCTAGAAAGGTTTAGTTGCAGGACAGAACCATCATGAGGACTGAGATGCTCCCTGTAAGTACCTGCAGTAATTTAAAAAGAAACATGATCCTATTTTATTTTAATAGACATTCAATTCATCATAATGATACTTTTGTCTATTTTTCCTACAGCTTGCTATGTTAGATTAAAACTTGGTGGATGTGGAGAAATCTCTTGATTGATAGCTAAACTTTATGATTTAATCTTCATTTCAGATTCCTGACAAACATACAGATTAATTTCTTGCGAAAACATTTCTTCTACAATTTTTTCTTCTTTGAGGTTAAATTACAGCACCTTGTACAAAAACTTAATAACTAATAGAAAATAAATTAAATGAATGTAAGGTGTGAAGTTTCTCTTAAATAATCACAACCAATGAAAAGAAGTTATAGTTGAAACTTTATGTACAGTTTGCTGGGTTTTTTTTTTTCTTTTTTAATGTTATTGCTGTCTGCCTTGCCTTATAGTATGGTGATTTTTATTTTAACCTTTAATGGTGCATCAGATGAACTGGTTGCACTGATGCACCGTTAAAGGTGTCTGATCACTACATGGTAATAATTCTGTCACAAATTTTGGTCATAATTTTTTGTCATAAAAGACTTCTGTAGTTAAGAAACTATTTAACCCCTGAATTACCCATTGGTTGTTATGGAGGAATATTGGCCCATTCTTTGTCATTATGGGAATGGCAGCCTAGTGGTTTGGGCATGGAGCTGAGGTTCTGAGTTCAAGCCCCACTCCCACAGACTGCCACTCTTGCTCTATAGCAAAGACCCCACACTGCTCCCCGGTGCCCCACAATGGCAGCCCACAGCTCCCAATGGAGATGGGTTAAATGCAGAGTTCATTTCGTTGCTCTATACTCTGAACTGTATTTTCAATAGACTTTAACCATAAAGGAGACTTTAGTTTCCTGGACTATTCCTTACATTTTAAAATTAGACTCATTAGTTTTGTGTGCTTTAAGCTAATTTTTTACGGAAGAGGATTAGGGCCACTAGGAAAAAAAATGTTGACTGATTTTTACATTTTATTTCAGTTTAATATGGGGGGGGAAAACTCAGAATTCTGACTTTAATCTTAGAATTCTGACTTTTTTCCTCAAAATTCTGACTTTAATGTTAGAATTCTGACTTTTTTTCCTCAGAATTTGTCATGATCTGGCCTGTTTGCTCCTCCTTAATTAGAAATCCCTTTCACCTGTCGTTTTCCCTCCGTGCCCCAATTATAATTTATTCCCCTCACCTGTTTCCTCTTGTTTATATTCAGTTAAGCCTGAGCATTCATGGCCAGATCATTATTTCTTTTCTGTTAGCCTGTCTATTAGTTTTATTTCTTCATGGCAGCCAGTGGAAAGAGGGTTTTTGTGTTTGTCTCGTCTCCTGATCGTCCACTGTTCCTCCCCCGCGGAGTCCTCTGGGTTTTTGGCTCATTATGGGGGGAGGTTCAGTTTTTATTCCAGTAAGCTTGGCTCCAGGGAGGAGACCAGTTTAAAGTCCTGCATCAAGTTCCGGTTCCTTCGTCCCGTCCCGGCTACCCTCTTCCACTGAGCCTGCTCAGCTGCACCTGATCTGTCTGCTCCTGTGCGTGACCACCTGGTCACGCTTTCGGACCCTGTCAGACTCTGAACCCTCCTGGAAGCCTGTGGATGCCTGGAAGTCTGGATCCTGCCTCCTATTTCTGTTCCTGCCTGATCTAGATCCTGTCCCTGTCTGTTCCTGTCTGTTCTGGATCCCTGACCAGGATCGGCTTCCAGCATGTCCTCTGGGACTGCAGTACTTGGGGACATTCTAGGACTGGACTGTTAAACCAGAGTTCTGTGATTGGGCCGTGCCCCGCTCCCCATCCTGCAGTGTCCGTGAGCCACAGCTCCACTTCAGTTTTTGTTAATTTAATAAACCTTTTTGAGCTTTCCTACTGACTGTCTCTCCTTAAATACTGGGTCCATCTGTCCTCGCTTCATGACAGATTTCTGACTTTCATCTCAGAATTCTGACTTTATTCTCGGAATTCTGACTTCAATCTCTTGAATTCTGACAGCTAACAAACATGTTAGCATCAAGCGGTAGTCATGTCTGTTTTAGAGACTAAACCAGCTCTCTTCTTTTAATCCCCTTCTGCTCTTTCATTAATGAAACAGCATCACCAGGGACCCCCCAGGCACGTAAAAAGTCCGCTAATTCTGTCATTTTTCCCCAAAGTCTTACTGGCCCTTCCAAACAACTTGCATCTATGTCAGTGAAGCTGATTTCTCCAACATCTCTTCCCTCATGGTTCCCATCTACATTGAGATCCAAAATTCTGAGATTAAAGTCAGAATTCTGAATTTTTCTCATATTAAAGTGAAATAATGATTAAAAATCTTTTTTTTTCAGTGGCCCAATCCTCTTCCGTACATTTTGGTTATGAGCTGTTTGTATAAAAAAAAACAAAAAAACATCAAATTAATTTGTTTCACCGAGACAATTTATTTCTTTGTGGTTAAACTCGGTCCTGCACCATCTTGTTGTTCACACCAAAATACAAACCAAAATAAATGATATTCAAGATGATGCAAAGTTAAATTTGACACTGTTGCCATTAGTTATAAAACTAGGAAAATTAAGTGTAAGGAAATTCTCATCCAGAAGTGTAGAAAAATATTCCTTTAATTAAGTAGTGCATTAAGGTTTAAAGAATCTGTGCTTTAAACCTGTGTTGTTTCCTGCATTACTTTTGCTTTAAGAGT